TTAACAAGTGATTGCATAAAAGTATATATAATTAGTAAGGTTGGGTGTTTTTGCACATGGGCCTCGTAATATTAACAAACAAATTGTCGAGAATCTACTTTCAATCTAGTATACTAATATATTTCTTTTTTAATCTAGTAAAGAGCGACGAACACTAAAATAAATATGTCATATCATGTATGCCATTTATTTATAGTCCAGACTGATATTGTAAGTTTATGGGTCTATATTCATGATATAGAATATAACAGTACAAATTACAATCATTTTAGAATGTAACGTTAAAGAAACAACATTGAATAAACGTCAGTTAATTTCTATGTTGTTCTTAAATGAATAAAAACTCATATACTATAAAATGTATTATTTATTGCTTATTTGAAAATACTTATAATTTAACAGTTGCATATAATACATGTAGAATGTAAATGAATTAATGCTATCAATAATTGAACCGTTCACGCATCAAATGAATTTGCGTATTAATGATATCAATATCATATTCCTTGAGAAGATATGTACTTGATTTGAACGTTACATGTACATAAATTGAATTCATAAAAATTTCAAATAATGCAGATCCAGGAATTTTTTCCGGGGAGGGGGCACTCGTTCAAAAAAAAAAAAAAAAATTCAACCTAAATCCAAAAAAGTTAACTCCTTTCCAAACGAGAAAGTCCCTATTTTGTGTGTTTGCGGAGGGGGGAGGGGGCACTTTCCTTCACATCTTAAGCTTCTAATGAATGATTCTTGGGTCCACAGTCACTTTTGTTGTTTTACTATGTACTACATTAAATATTTCCGCAAATTCAGAACGGGGGGTGGAGGGTGTGGGGTCTGGACCCCCCGACCCCCATCTAGATTAGCACATCTTTATCAGTCATACTAGATTGTTTAATGATTTGTGTTATATCTAATATATATTACGTAATTAATTTCCACGTTAATTTTTAGATAAGTATTTAAAGACATACGCAACGTACCTTACCTATGAGTACTGGTAATTTTTTAAAAGATATTCTTAATTTAAGATTATAGTGCCATCAGATGTTCGTAGACAAAAATCAGCATGCATTACGAGGTGTTTTGAAAGGATATCAATTCATGATAATTCTTGCATAATTCAAAGAAAAATATACAAAAATTACTAAACATGTATTCTAGATTTTTTTTTAATCCAAACTTGTTTTAGGAGAAGTGTATAACAGCATAGATATAGACATTAAAATGTAGCACACATATGGCGTGTAAAACGTTGCTTTATTCGATAATCTTGTGATGTATGTTCAAAATCTTGTGATGTATATTCAAAATCTTGTGATGTATGTTCAAAATCTTGTGATGTATATTCAAAATCTTGTGATGTATGTTCAAAATCTTGTGATGTGTATTCAAAATCTTGTGATGTATATTCAAAATCTTGTGATGTATGTGCTATATCTTGTTATGTATATTCAAAATCTTGTGATGTATGTTCTATAATCTTGTGATGTATATGCAATATCTTGTTATGTATATTCAAAATCTTGTGATGTATGTTCTATAATCTTGTGATGTATGTGCTATATCTTGTTATGTATATTCAAAATCTTGTGATGTATATTCAAAATCTTGTGATGTATATTCAAAATCTTGTTATGTATATTCAAAATCTTGTGATGTATGTTCTATAATCTTGTGATGTATATGCAATATCTTGTTATGCATATTCAAAATCTTGTGATGTATGTTCTATAATCTTGTGATGTATATTCAAAATCTTGTGATGTATATTCAAAATCTTGTGATGTATATTCGATAATCTTGTGATGTATGTGCAATAATTGCATTTTGGGTAATATGACGCAATTGTGTTCTAGTTAAGTAAGAACAATTTTCATTGGTTGGAAATAACGAAAGTAGAGGGGTGATGCATACATAGATCAATTGGACTTTCATTTCTTTCGTTTTGATCGCCGAAATATTGCCGACTCGGCGTTAAACAATAATTATCAATCAGTCTTTCGTTTTGATACATGTACAAAGAAAAGAGACATAAGATATGGATTATATATGCAAGTATATCAGTGAGGAAGATATAAATGTAATTAACATGATAAATAGAGTGAAGTCCTCAAATCATCGAAAATCTTTTTTTCTAAAGAAAAACAATAGCTCTTAATCAAGTTTTTTTCTTCTCCTGTAAAAGAGCTGATCGGTAGTCTAGTGATAATGAAAACACAAAAAAGATTATCTTCTTGTCATATTAAACAGGGTGATTTCTTCCAGCATGATTTTATATTTGGAATATACTCATGATAAATTTGAAGAGTATATATAGAAGTTTAAGGCTTATCTAATTACAATGTCAACTATACTCTATCTTTTGTATGTTTTTTTTTCAGTTCGCAGCTACTGTATGCATCACTGTCATATAATTTTCTCAGTGTATTACACATGTAGTAGGACAGCTGATTAGGTTTGACATGAGATATGGTGATTGGTCACCTACAACCATGATTGCTAAAACTGATGTACAACTTGATGCAACCCAATGTTTAACCTGTGACCTAAACTTATCTCACAAATTTTTTGTAAGCCTTCCAGTCATTTTTAAATATACAATGTACATGCAAGCTTCACATGGAGAGTTGTAACTTGTTTGAAGAAGTCAGATAAAACCCCTGTTTTTTCCCTGTCAATTGAAAAGCAAAATATCACTGTCTAAATCTTCTGCAGAGTTGTATCAGCTACAGCCTTGATAGATGCTACTAAAATGACACAAGACATTCCATCACATATAGATATGCTTGCAATGGCTTACATCTCTTACATAAATCATCATACTGTGAAGGCTTTCACTTGTCTTTATAACTCCAATTGGGTTCATAACATTTTGCTCAAAGCTAATACATGTATATCCTGGCTCAACATCAGATGTTTGTCATAGTCCTACATAGTGAGGTTCAAATTCTAAAAAAAATCAGTGCAGGAGTCCTTAATTATCTTACATGTATCTGATGAAAGATTCATCATTCACTGAATCAGGACTGTGTCTGAATATACCTGTTTTTCTTTTATTCAGAGGTCAGTTCACTTAATTAAGAGGCTGCATTATGCTTTAAAATTGCCAGTGCACATCACTGCCACGTGCCAATAAAAGGATCAAAAACTGAAATACTTCATTTTTGGTTTACTTTCACAGATATTTCAACTATGTTCATCTTGTTAACTTGCAAGTCCCTCTTTTGAAAGAAGTTGCATAATATAACTTCAATATTATCCTTTTGTCACCTGTTCAATTATTATATACATGTACTTAAGTCTATGTTCTCCCAATGTTTCTGATGGAAGTTTTGTATTTTGTAGATTCGTTAAGAGTGAAATTGACCATTTTATGTGTTTAAATAATTCTTACACTCATCAGGTCACTCGCGTGACGCAGTGCTCAGAGCATCTGCTCTAGATTTGCGTGGCGCAGTGGTTAGAGCATCTGCTCTAGAGTCCCGAAGTAAGGAGTTGATCCTTATGTCGTGGGTTCAAATCCCAATGTGGGACTTGCAGACCGGTCCTTCGCATGAGACCATACAAACCGAGGTCCTGTGTCACAGTAGGTGCTAGTACGAAAAAGATCCCTCCCTGCTCAATGGCCCTAAGTGCCGAGCATAGGACAAAATTTGCAGCTCTCCATTGGCAAGTGGTGGCACCTCCATATGAGTGAAAAATACTCGAGAGGGACATTAAACAACATACAAACACACTTATCAGTTGGACAGCAATCAATGGCAATGAGTACTTCACTTATTCCTTTGACAATAGAAGTATTTTAATACACAGGTTACTTGTTGCAATATTTAAATGATCATGTTTTACAAATGAATGATTAAAAATTAGACATTATGCAGAAAGTGTATTTTTATATGTCACAGAACTACACGTGTATGGAATTTACTACCAAATTTTGCATGTCCATGCACTAAAAAGGTACTGAATTGAAATTTTATTATTATTATTATTATTATTTTTTTTTTACAAAATCTCCTTCACTTTATTTATCTCAGATTTACATTGTCATATCAATTACTGAACAGAACAGAGACCAACATAGTTTGTCAAAGTTTCTAGTTTTCTCTTGGTGCTGGAATAAAGGTACTGTAGTAAAAATTTATAGCAGTGCAATATTTTTAGTACATTCCTTATCCTACACAATTCTTATCATAATGACACTGTTGACCAGGGTCCCAACCAAAAAGATGCAACATGTCTTGTTACGCATGTGTTGGCCTTGAATCTGGTGGTAGAAGGCAAGGTCAGTTTTCAGATGTAAAGAATCTTCCTCATATTCTGAAATATGAAAATATAATTAAAATTTATGTAAACTAAGGTAAATTTTTTACAGATAAATTTCGCCAAGTAGTCGGTGATCACCCAAAGGAGCACTGGAGTAATAAACCTTTTTATGATATTATAAACAATAACACGTACCTAAGTATAAGTCTTTCCAGATAATGGACTGCATCTTCAGCTGTTAATAATGCAGCAGAGTAGGTACACTTGACTTTCACAAACTTGGAAATTGCTGTAACAGAGAACATTTTCTGCCTCTGCTGGGGATTGAACCCGGGGCCTCTGGCTTGCCAGTCCAGTGCTCTACCAATTGAGCTAAAGGGTTAACCCACTAGCCCAAGCTAGTAGGATGCCATGTATCTTACACTACCACATTGTCCCCCTCCAGAGAATGAGATGTCCTCATCTCTTTTGGAGTGCCGACGCCTGTGGGGCGAAGTTCTGGGGGCAATCACTTTCACCCGCCAGAGAACACCCGGGTCCCAACGTGGGCGCCAAATGTAACAGAGAACATTTTGTGCCTCTGCTGGGGATTGAACCCGGGGCCTCTGGCTTGCCAGTCCAGTGCTCTACCAATTGAGCTAAAGGGTTAACCCACTAGCCCAAGCTAGTAGGATGCCATGTATCTTACACTACCACACAGAGTCTGGTAAGGTACTTCACAGAGAGGAGGATGCAGAACTAAATTATGTGAAACACCTTAAGCACCCAATCAATTCATCGAGCCAAATTCCTGAAAAGTAAACCAAAATATTTCAATCATTGAAAACTAAAACCATGTCCATAGTACATGAATGCCCTGCCCAGTGTTCACTGTAATGCAACATGAAAAGAAATGTGCTTTCCTTCTTTGTTAAAGATGAGGTAAATGAGAGATATTGAGGTCAAGGTCACAGTGAAAGTTAAGTCAGAAAGATGTGACACAGTTGAATAGCTTTGACCAATTTGTGTTAGTGAATAAGGTTTAAAGAAAATCTTGAGAATAGTTTCTTTCAAACTAATATTAAAACAAGACTATTAGTAAAGTCAAAATGTCATGGGGAAGGACAAGGTAAAAAAATAATGGACAGAGTTGATAAGTTTTCACCAATAAGTTTTATTATATGTGATAAAGATAAAAATATCTTTAATGGTTTCTTTTAAATTGAGTTTGAAATAGTAAGGTCAAAAAGAAGGTAAAAAAACAGCTAGTCTGCAATTAATTAGTCTTTGCATAAAACAAAACAGTTTTATCTGATTTAATTCATTGATTTTTTTTCATAAACATTTAAATATATAACATTACACCAAAATTTAAATTTCACTGCATTAAGGACCCTCTATACACTAAAGGAAAAGATTTTTTGGACATTGAGAAAATTATAGTGTGTAAAGATGTAAATGTTGAGCTTATCTATTACATGTTCAACATAGGGTACCTTGCATTTACCCCCAGGAAAAATGTTCAAAGACAATGAAGTACTGATGAACAAAAATCACTGTTGTTTACTTAAATGGGTAAAATACCAGCAAATTAAAGTGTTCATTCTATTCATCTTAGCCTATTTAAATGTAATAAATGCTTTATTTGATCACAAATTAAGAAATAAACTGTACACGTCAATTTATTTTATTCTAGATCAAAGGGCAGATTACTCTATCAATCTATCTGCATAAAAATACCACAAATCAGAACTCTTTAGTGTGCAGTGTATAGAGGGCTCTTAAATTGTTTGTACATGGCTACACATACTTTTTCTACACAAGTTCAGACACCCATTTGCAGATGTGCACATGCATTACCTTTTTCACTTAAAATTAAGCACAGCTTCAAAGTTGGAGATAGTTATCCTTTGTGTCCTCATGACTTCCCCCATAAGATTTGTTCAATACCCTTTTGGTGCCTCTGCAGTATATGGACAGAATCATTGCATAGCATAACCAGACAAATGGAGCATATGCTTCAGTAAATTTCAGTCAAGTCAAGGATCCTCCGTCATAGGAGCAACAAGGATCTGGTGCTCATGTGACTCTGGCTGCTGAATCCAATCCATAGCTGAAAATATTAATAACATTTAGTTGATGATGCCAATTCATATTTTAACTCTAAAACTTGTGGTTCATAATTTAAAAAAAGTATAAAAATTGGGAATGTTTGCAAATTAATTGTTCTAATGTGTTACTTTCATTCAAAAAAAAAAAATCTTACATAGTTCCATGCAAAACTTTGATCCCCTGTTATGGACCAACGCTACCCCTAGGCTAGAGGCAACAAGTTATTAAAACAGATTAGAATCTACACTACCACAGGAAGCTTTCTATAAAGTTTCATTTTTTTCCCCTAGTAAGTTGTTCTGTAGAAGAAGATTTTTAAAGACTTTTATCCCCAATTGAAAGGCCCCATCTTACCCTCCAGGGGTCATGATTTGTACAGTTTAGAAATTTCAAAACCTCATCACAATACATGAGATGCTAAGTTAAGCTTTCAGGTCAGGTGAGCTAAAAAAAAATAAATCATTCATACAATGTTCCAAATTTTAACAATAAACCTGACAAGCCTTGCCAATATCTTTCCAAGGAAAATCCTGTACTTATTATCAAATGGCATATCTAATGCTCTTTTATTTTAATTTAAAATATACAGAATAATATACATATGTAATTAGAGTGTTTCAAAGAAGTGTAACCTTCCCTATATTGCATCATTAAAAGTGTAAATAATCTTAAGAGTGGTCAGCTATTTATTTCCTACTCGCATTATAGTTCTTATTGCCTGCCAAGAAAAAAAAAACATCCATGAATAGTAAAGTGTGCAAGACTTTGATAGAAATATATGAGTATTTAAATTTCTATGTGTGTGGTAACTGTACATAATCCAGCAAGTACAGTACTGTCATGAGCTCATAAACATGTATAAATGCTAATTAATTATCGATACCCTACCTCTCAAAACTCAAAAGGCATACATGTATGTTGAATTAAATGTCTGGAGTATTTTTTGCAAAGTAGGTCAAAGATCAAGGACATGTAGACTGTTCACATAATGTTGGTATTGACAACAATCAGTGCACATACTAAATAGCACAGGCTTACCTCTTAAATATCAAAAGCCTAACCAGATACATTCATTATGAACTATTTAAAAAAAAGTAGTCAAAGGTCACATTCAATGGTCTCAAAGTTTGTAACTATGGTATTTTACAAAAGTCATTGTGCAATGCAAATAATTTGTGCAAAATATCAAATCCAATGTGTGACAGACAGACACCGGGAAAAGTGATCCCTAAGTGTCACTCTGCTTTGCAGGCGAGACAAAAATAGCAAGGATAATTTGTTTGTTTGTTGAAAAGTGACTGAAGGGTCCTTAAAAGTAGAAATTTTTGTTCATTAATGTACTGTAATTTTTCCCTGTATTTTAAAGGACTTGTTGGACATAACTTAAGCACCATGGTTTTTGTGTTCCTTCTCATTAATGTCTTCAGATTTTTAAGCCACCAACACTTTATGACAAAGTCCATATTTTGCTATGGGAAACCTGAAATATGTGTCCGATCAAAAAGTAAAACACAGTAGATGTTCATTTAAATTAGATATAAGTACTGTACATGTAAATCTTAATGCATAGTTTATATTTACCCATACAGCAGAGGTGCAGAGGTTGTTTCAAAATGATGTCATATGAAGTTATCCAATGGGCATTCACAGCTAGTACAAGCAGATACAGCGTAACTAGAGTTGACTGGAATAAAAAAATATAAAAATCATGGTGAAAATTTGAAAGTAAAGACCTGTCTTGACCCACCCACCTCCGGGGGGAGGGGGGGGGGGTAAATGAATTAAGAAATGAATGTAATATTTTTTTCTTTGACCGAAGTATCAAACAAAAATTTGGACAGAAAACGTCATCAATGCGCGTAGGATGAAAAAGTTTTCCATCCAAATTTTTGTTTGATACTTCGGTCAAAGTAAAAATATTAGGCTACATTCATTTCTTCGATGAAAAAGTCATGGAAAGTAAATTTACAATTCATAAGGGCAGAGACATATAAAAACCAATATATGTCTCTGATAAGGGTTAATCTAAAATGCGAAATCATGTACGCGTACAATCACTTTCTCATAAAAAAATGTTTATGATCGTGATGATTCCTCTTTTATCAAAAGTGCACTCCTATACGTACCTACCTGCGGTGACTTTATACAACTTTCTTCTCATCTACGCCTGGATGGACATGCAGAATTTCCTCGTTGTACAGAAACTTTAGGACATGTTCACTGGTAACAGGATTCTCAGATTTGCGCAAAAGTTATCGACTATGTCAGTGTAAAATAAAGTTACAGTCCCCAAGCCCGAACTGAGAACTCTCCTTTTCACAGCGTTCTGGCGTCTATAGTTCTACTTTCACTTTGGAGACCAATGAAAAAAGTCCTTACAAAGGTTATCGAAATTAAGTCGAATATTACCCACAATGCAATTATTGCATATACATCACAAGATTATAGAACATACATCACAAGATTTTGCATATACATCACAAGATTTTGAATATACATCACAAGATTATCGAATATATATAACAAGATTTTGAATATACATCACAAGATTTTGAATATACATAACAAGATATTGCACATACATCACAAGATTATAGAACATACATCACAAGATTTTGAATATACATAACAAGATTTTGCACATACATCACAAGATTATAGAACATACATCACAAGATTTTGAATATACATAACAAGATTTTGCACATACATCACAAGATTATAGAACATACATCACAAGATTTTGAATATACATCACAAGACATTGCACATACATCACAAGATTATAGAACATACATCACAAGATTTTGAATATACATAACAAGATTTTGAACATACATCACAAGATTATAGAACATACATCACAAGATTTTGAATATACATCACAAGATATTGCATATACATCACAAGATTTTGAATATACATCACAAGATATTGAATATACATCACAAGATTTTGAACATACATCACAAGATATTGAATATACATCACAAGATTTTGAACATACATCACAAGATTTTGAATATACATCACAAGATTTTGAATATACATCACAAGATATTGCATATACATCACAAGATTTTGAATATACATCACAAGATATTGAATATACATCACAAGATTTTGAACATACATCACAAGATTTTGAATATACATCACAAGATTTTGAATATACATCACAAGATTATCGAATGAAGCAACGTTTTACACGCCATACACACAGTCCCTTTAAGTATCGGAACTCTTCAACTCCAGAGAAAAAGACTATGAAGTTCAAACTACGTTGTGTATGTCCTTAAAATAAAATTTTACAATTCTGGATCGATGATCTTATTGGTTTTAAAGCATTACTCAAGACATAGGAGGTTGTCGAATGGATTGTTTGAATCGCACATCTAAAAGTGTATATTGTACAGATTAAGGGTCTCCACAGCCCGTGACTTGTGACGTATATCGAGAAAAAATACTTTTACTTCCAGTTTTATATAGTTTGTGCACTGACGATTTGCCTGGCACCGTCAGTAAGGGAGTCGTAAAACGCTTTAGATATACAAGTTTTGACCGAAAGAAAAAAGTGTCGATTTTTTAAAATAAAACAACAGCAGACCTTTAGGTTTATTTTGCAAAATAATTCGTAATTAACAGGTAACGGTATATCTACGATAAAAGTTTTATGTTATTTATTTCATCCATTGTGATATCGTCAACAAAGTCTTTTGTGTAAGTTAATATTTTTTGCAAACCGATTAGTGCGTTTCAATAATACCTATCTCATTGTGTGCTTATAAATATTGATAAATCGTGTGCATTTCTAGCTTTGCTCATTCATATAGATCTGTCCTGATGAGTGACTTGAGTATGATGACGTATACGGAGACTTACCAAAGTTTTTGAGTCCCGGGCAACAGGAAAGATATCTCTAAAAGAAACTTCAATACTAAAGATTTTGAAAATAATTTTTCCATATCAATGAATTTTATATCAATTCATATTTGGAGCAACGTATTAAATCTAAATGGGAAAAACATCTTGAAACTTATTACATTAAATTTAAAAAATCAGTATAAATTATATTTCAATTTCTGGCCAGATTTTAAAAGTTGATATGCTTGTTAAAAGTAATGCTCAGTAACATGAGAACATAGGCTGGTGTGTTTGGAGGACCCTTTAAGTATATTTTACAAATTATTGTATAATTATTGTATAAATTTTACAGTATAAAGTGTAAAGTTTACTGTATAGAGTGTAAATTTTATAAATTAGATTGTAAATTTTACAGATTAAAGTGTAAAATGTACAGATTAATGTGTGAAATTTACAGATTCATGTGTAGATTTTAACAGATTAAAGTGTAAAGTTGACAGATTAAATTTTAAAATTTACACATTAAAGTGTGGATAATGAAAAAAAAAAGTTTCCAATAACACCAATACACATCCGTAGGTTTCCTTAGAGTGAACATTTTCAATATTTCTCTCAACTATGTGCACTATTTATTCTATTATTCTTAATGTTTTATACAAATACATATAACAGCGGACCGTACGCGCATAAATACTGAACAGTCATTTTTTTTAATATCACCCGTCGTTAAGCAATGCTGACTGTCTCTACGTTCTCCCATGCAGGGAAACCTGGTTTAATAATTCAAAAGGATTAAATTGTAGTTTTAAACAGATATTTATATCCACTGAATATTATCTTTATTTCTTCAGAAACCATGGCCGTTCATCAGTCACTAAACGCCATATATGTACCTGTATAAATTTCTTGAGCAGTGGCCCTTCCACCAATGAAAAGTACAATGACTTACATTTCAATAATACAATATTTAACCTGCTTAATCCTACTTTAGATGATTATTTATATCGACATAAATATAAACAATGAAATATCTTTCTTTCTTTGTCAGTATGGAAATTTACGTTGCAGCTATTGCAGAAAAAAAATACATGTATTTTTTCTACAAAAGCTGCAACGTTAATTTCCATACTCACAATGAAAGCATTTTATTGTTTAAATCTTTCTCGACGAATTAGGTCCAATTAATTTACATGAATGTATAATACTGGCTAATAATAACGACAGAAATAAAATCTAATGTAAACGCAAAGAAAATTCTAGCAAAATAACAAGCACAAATATTTTCAAAAAAAAAAAAAAAAAAAAAAAAAGTAGTATGATTCCCTTTAAAAGAGATAATAAAGTGTCATAAGGATCTGTCTATTTCTTCATCGCATACGAATATTTTTCCTGTAATACACGATGCTTTTTTCGTATTTATACAAAAATATCAGAAATCTGTGGAAAAGATCAGCATCATTTTGAGTAAATAATTTTGTCATATTTAGACTATAAATAAAAACCATTATTCAATATAAAAATTAAAAGAGACTATTAAAACTTTCGTTTTTCCTGCTGTCCAATTGTTTCATTCATTATTCTGCAAGTCTAATATAGTATAAACTTTTTTGTCGGAAGGAATGGATATTCTTAAATTATTAGAGCTTAACAATTTATTGATAAGGTACAGTAATGACATTAACTTTTCCATATTCTGAATGAGATATTTGTTAACGTAAATAACCTCTTTAAATTCGGAACTAAGCTTGATCTTTGAATGCATAAACGTATTCTCTTTATGTCAAGGTAAAAAATTATAGACATATATATATATATATATATATATATATATATATATATATATATATATATATATATATATATATATATATATATATATATATATATATATATATATATATATAGATAGATAGATATATAGATATATAGATATAAATTTAATAGGATGACTATCATTATTAAATTTTTTTGCCATTTCATCTATTTCTCTCTCTAATTATTTTTTCTTTCAGTTTCCCATACTCAGCAAATTCCATCCGGGCTGCACCAAAAGCAGACTGCATACTAGTATTAAGTCTTGCACGTATTTTCCTTCTGTCCTTCTTGAACTTGAGGCAAATAAGAAGACAAACTTCAAGATTAATAACACTGTATAAAATCTATAACAAGTGAAGTTCTGATTGGTATACTACCTAATATATGGATTTTAGGCGTATAAATATTTTACAAGACATCTTCGTTACATACCTAGAGCTAAACAGATTCCACTTTTAATATTCGATAATGCTTCTCATTATTTCTTTCCATGAAATAAAACTACAGCAGCAACAAAAGACAAATGGAGACATTGTGTACTCACTATACCCACACTTACCTCGGGGACAAGGATCTTTATTGCTGCAGAAAATGAATACTTATTTTGCAATTGTACAGAAATTTAACATAAACTCGTGTCGTTTTGATTGATGCAATATTTAGATAAAGTCACTTTTATCTTATTCTTTTAATTGTACAAATATTAACAAAATGTCACCTGTTTTCGACTGATGCAATATTCATTTTTAATGGCTTTTTCTTTGTGTGTTATTTATGTAGTTCCTAGAAAATACCATGTAGTAGTGTTATCCGTTGTTTCATTTTATTTAAACTGTAACACATGCTTCTATTTAAAAATGGTTGGTTATATTCAACATGTCGGGCATGCTAAACTTACTGAAAAAACGTTTGCCCAATTGAATATGTATATGTTTATAGACAATAAAACAGAGTTTTTTAACAATAAAGTTTAGTAACATTTTTGATGAAATATTTTAAAAAATCAGTAGTTTAACTTATTAATTAAACAATGTATAAATTGGTATAATAATATCAAATGCTGTCACCATTATTATCAAGTAAATTCCACAGATCAGATACTGTAAGGGTCAGCACATCAGTCTTCGGCGACATTTTGTGCAAATATATTTGCAGTGCAATTCTGCACTAATGTCGCCGGCGACAAGTAGTCCAAGGGCAAAAATGTGTGCTGCCAATGCAAATGGATATCAAGTCAGTGTTTCATTCATACGACTCGTCTATCACTACAGTAAAATTGAATACGAAAATTTTACAGTTAAAAGAATTAGCAGTTTTATGACTAAATTCTTTGTTTTAAATGATGGTTTCTTTTCCATTACCACAGAATTCTAGTGGATTGTACGTTAAAGATTGCTGGGGATCATCTATCTGAACTAGGCAATGACAAACTATTATACAATTTAAAACTGAATTCTGACAAGTCTCCTCTACCAGTGAAAAACTTTAAGGTAATCAATGACACTGTTAGCGTTTCTTATCCTCCAATTTTATGGGCGGAAAATGTTCTTACATTGCTCAAACAACCTTGTGCCCATTTTTTGCGACACTTTTGGCTTTTATACGAGGGTTGTCCGGTAAAATCGCGTACAAGTTGTCTAGAGTGAAAAAGAATCAACACTGCGTTCTAAAATTTTTACTACTCTTTAGTATATATTTTATCAATATACCTAGCAAAGTTCAAATGGATATATGCTCAAATAAACAAAAGATAAAATTTAATATTATGTGTGGCATCGCCCTACGTCAAGGTGTCAAAGTGTCAAAAGCAACGTCAAATTTGATAAGCCTCACTTAAATTGGGAAATTTCTTTGATGCACATGTATACTCGAGTCTCTCTTTATTCCTCCATAAACAGTCGAGGAACAAATCTTGCACACACATGGGACCTTCTAAACATTTATTATTAAGTCATGGACAGTACTCTCACTATAATTCAACTAAAAAGGCGATCTTATATCGACGCTCTACAGTGACACCATCTTCCGCTATTGCCAGTAGCTGTTTGTACGTAGGCCTATTTTTGTTCTACCCGGGGACTTGATCAAAAAGCTTACGCTTAGAAAACTCCCATTTCACTTGTATACTAAAAATCTAGTGAAATTTATATGTATATAATTTTCTTCTGAAGTCATTTAAAGTATTTTAGGCGTCATTACTACATCTTTTAAAAACGCACTGAACTGCTCTCCCATGCACCGTAACGTCGTCAAACGTCGCCATTTTTCAATTGTAGCGTTGACCACTTTTCCATTTCAAATGCTTGAGAAACTGTCAAAAATTAAGGAAATGCCTTGAAATTTTTAAAATGACGACATACTGGATAGTGGATTCAAAATATGATATTTTTTCCTCTAACATATCTATGTAATTCTTTTATTTCGAAATAATACTCGCGTATTCTCTAAGGAAACCAGAATTCTTTTTATTGTGCACTATAGGACCTTACCCTGTACACATTCAAGTTATACATTTTTTATTTTAGTATATA